AGGTTGTTCTGATAAGTGGATACAATGGATTCATAATATTCTGAGTACAGGCACCTCTTCTATTATCCTCAATGGTGTACCTGGAAAATCCTTTGACTGCAAGAGAGGGGTGAGACAAGGAGATCCTCTATCCCCCTTGTTGTTTGTCCTAGCTGCTGATCTTCTCCAGTATGTGGTAAACAAAGCATGGCAAAATGGAGTCCTCAAACATCCTGTTAGTGACAACTTTGGTGATTATTTCCCAATAATTCAGTATGCTGATACTCTCTTGATTCTACCAGGAGATGCAAGAATCCTTTTCAATCTGAAAGGACTCTTGAGACCCTTTTCAGATTCTATTGGCTTCCATGTGAATTTTAGTAAGTCCTTTCTTGTTCCTATCAACATGTCTGATGCAAGAGCTCATCACTTGGCCAATACATTTGGATGCAAGGTAGGAAACATGCCTTTTACCTATCTTGGGCTCCCTCTTGGGAATACAAAACCAACTCTTGGGACTACAAAATAACTGATATGATGCATGCACCACCACAAATATGCACGCTCCGTTCCCCAGTACTCCACTGGAGGTGGTGACTTTGCTCATTCTCTAGCATCCATCGCCCCTACATGGGGCTGGACAAGGTTGAGTCTTAGGTAAGGTTCAAGAACAACGTCGGAGCTGAGCATGGGCGCTTTGCCCCTATTGCTGTAGACCATGAGTGACCATGGGAATCTTAGACTCAAGCGATTAGGAGAGGGTGAAGCGAAGGCCAAACTCCAAAGGCATTGGAAGAGAACCTAGGGCCAATGGGCAAAAGCTCGCAGCCTAGGGCCCATGGGCCTAGACTCAATGTGTGCTCAATGTAAATTGAAGTTTTTTCTACGAAAAAATGCTTTTGGCATAATCATTATCACTACTACGACTAAATTCAAGCAGTGGAAAGAACAAAAGATGTGTGGAAAGTCCTTGGGCTGTTGAGCAAAATCCAACCACACTAGAATGGTTGGTACAAAGTCCTCCAGCCTTTCATACTTTTGGAGAACTTCCTACTATAAAAGAAACTCAAGGAGAACTTCAAACTATAAAATAAAATAACCTAAAACAGGAAGTGGAAACCGCAATATCTAGAAAGCTTTTCTAGTCCTTCACTAACCGGGGCTAAAAGTCCTGATTTTGGAAGACTAACAATTTTATTTACATGTCTCCAGGATCAGTACTCTGAACTTCAGAGATGATCTATTCGTTTTAGGAGACACTTTAAAAAAATAATTGCCTCCTAAAGTTAATTAATAGAGGAGGGCCTCTTAAGAGATCCACCTCTGAAAATGGGAGGTGGGCCACTTGAGAGGTCTGCCCCTATTAATTGTGGTAAACCCACCAGCTCAACTCAGCCCGCTTAGAAAACCCAAGAATATATAAGCGAGAGCGGCCCCCTCATTTTCCCTCTCCCTTCCTCAACCGCACAAGTCCCTCTCTCTTGATCTTTTGAGCCCGCACAAATCCCTCTCTCTCTCTGGATCTTCTCGAGCCCAAAGCGGCGCGCGAGTCGTGGCCACGCGGCCCTCCTCCGAGCTTGCGCGGGGCGCGCCCTCCTACGGCCGCCGCGAAGCCCGCATGGGGCCCTTCTCCTCCGGGCTCCCTGAGGGGTGGCGTCGCGGGCTACTTCTACCTTCAATCCAACATCATCCAACTCCGTGAGTCGTTCCCTCATCTCCTCTCTCTCTCTCTCTCTCTCTCTCTCTCTCTCTCTCTCTTTCTCTCCTCTCTCCCTATCCCTCATGCGGTGGGTGAAGATACAGGCTGGAGGAGGCCGATGAGCAGCGGCATGGTGTTGATCCGGTGCGGCAACGATGGCACTCTAGCAGCCCAGAGCAACCAAGATGGCAACCTAGGACTATTGAACTGGTGGTGACGTCCTAGGGGGCATTTTTTTGTTTTCTTTTTTATCAACAGAGTCGGGCATATTGACCACCTTTGAAAACTGACATTAACAGTGATGTTTTTACAGAGGCGGGCGACGTGCCCGCCTTTGTGAAGGCTTTTTGGCGACTGTGAAAATAGTTATTGTAGTGGTGTATGTTGGGAGTCATTTTTCTCCCATCAACAAAATAGGGTTTTTAGTTCTCCCTCAAATTTTAAAACATTTTTACCTATACACTTATTTTTTACTTATGTCAACCGTCCTACAATGCACTATTGCAGCCACTAGTGATAAATTAGATTATGTTGATTAGTTTAATGTCAAATAGATCTGCTCCGCCGCCTGCCACCGCCACACGAAGAGGGAGCTCAACGTGGTGGCTCCCCTCATACCGCTCCGCCACTGGTAGTTGAGGAAGGCCGAGGCACCGCACATCCGTCGCCCTTCAAGAGGAAGGTGAGGTGGAGGATGGTTGGAGGGAGAGGTAAGGGAACCAGGGAGCTCGCCGCGGCGCCGCCGCTGGGTTGCGAGATTTGGATCTGACCAAGGAGTGGAGAGAGAGAGAATCGGGCGGAGGGGGGCAGAGCGGAACGGACGCAAGCCGATGTATACTGGAATTAATAATTTTTTGGGTCCGTGAGATTTGATTGTGACCCGTTTTTGTTGGTACGAGTCACTGATAACATCGCTTGTTACCAGTGACGCGTCTAGTTGAGAAGAGTCTCTGATAACTGGTCATTAGTGACACGTTTTTTTCTCTTGGCCATGGGCAACAACTAACATGCAACACGTTTCGTTTACCCACGTCACTAATGTTATATCAGTGACGCGTCTGAAATCCGAGTCACTAACTAAGGTGTCTCCTTTATGCTGTTTTGGCATAGTGTAGACTATAAAAATGTTGTACAAATATTATTTTAGAAAACATATCCAAATAATTTTATGATAAAGTTATGCAATCAAAGATCGTAAAATATGGTTTACTCTTAGAAAATTTACAGAAATTTTGTAGCTCTAAAAAATATGAAACTAGATTCATATTTTTTCTAACATTGTGCTATATCTTATGGTAACTAGTTTGGAGTCACTTGAATCTTCTATGGATCACTTTTGACGTTTATTTGCTAGTTGACATCCTCATTATCTATTAGAATTAGTCGATGTGATGACCAGGACTACATAGAAGCCTAACTGACTTTAACAACAAAACAAGTGTTATGTAACCACTTCATAATCGATCCTATCTTTGTTGTAGTGTTGAGATGACCGACTAGAGGGGGTGAATAGTCATTTTTTTTCTAAAACTTAGTTGCGAAGGCTAGACAAAGCAAATACAACGGAAATAAATTAACAGCCTAGCCATGACTACACCCCTCTAACTACATACCCTAAAAAGATACTAAACAAGATAGTAACTAGTGTGCCGAGCTAGTGAGAGCTCATCTAACAAGTCTATTTGGCAAGGTCAATCAACCTAAATAACTAGATGACAAGCTAGTACAAGGGAGCTCTCCTACACATATTAGTGAGCAAAGAAAGCTACTCGAGAAAAGCTACTCATCCAACTAGTCGAGCTATACAAAGCATAAGAGCAATGATACTAGCACAAGATAAAGAAGTAAAGATCTAGTGTTTGGGAATGCAAACCAATGGGAGACAAAGGTTGACACATGCACCAGACCTTGGCAGTCTTCTCCCAACTGCTGCCAGACGGAGAACAGGGCACACCAGGCCACCCAAACCTCCGATGCTCAGCACCGGACTTATCCAACACGCAATAGGGTTATTCTCTGGCGCCTGCCTCTCAGGGCCACCAGAGTTCCAGTGAGGCAGATTTTTTTGCTTAATATTTGGATAGCTTTTTGAAAAAAACATTTGTTTAACTTTTTATGTAAAGTATATTAACACTTGATGTAATGATCCAAGATTAGGTTTGACAAATCCTCAGCCCTTAGGCTAAACCCTATTTAAAATCCCAAATACATTTTTTTTCTCAACTTGGCCTAGGAGGTTCAAACTCGATCATGACAAGAACCTAACCAACTCATCGCCATTTTGGATGTCTTGGTCACTGCCTTTTTTGAAAGCTCTGCTGCATCAATCCTCTCAATAAGTTGTCCCTCAGTTGCACATTCTATAACAATGTGATCATATCTCCTTCGATGCAGCAATGGAACTAAGGCTCCATGTGAACTGGAGCCACATGGGTTATGGTTTGCATGTAAGTTTGGTTTCAATAGCTAGCAGTTTATGGTTTTGGAGCTTAGTTTATTCTCACATGCTAATCAGAGCTTTTTGTTAGCCGGTTAATTAGTGATTAATTAATTCGCGCTTTGTCGTCTTGCTTCCGCACTACCTTGAGAAATTCCTAATTGTTCCTAGGGTTGACATATCACCAGTTAGTGTGTGTGTGTGGGATATAAATCTAGGAGGGGTTAACCCAGTAGCTATATAGACAGTCCTCCAGGTTGTCTTGGCATGTTGACAACCAAAGAAAAAATGTTTAATGATTTTGGTACAATTACATAAACAACACTTCACTACCTTTCTAATTCCTCTTAATTAGGTTGCCCTTTGTTAAAATTACTCCAACCGGAGATACCAAAGGAAAATCTTGATTTTTATATAAATTTTAACTTCCAAATCAATTTATTAGAGAAGGGTGTATTCTGATTTATTCTGCGAATATACATAGAATGGACAGTAAATTGACATTGCTATATAAGCTCCTAATTGATGAGTGATCTTGGCTACTAAATCTTCTCATATTCATCGAGTTTATCCCTCACCAAAGCTCTCCGAAATGAAATATTCAGCGGATTTAGTTTACGGTTTAATAGTCACTGTATTGATCTTCCTTTTTTTTGTTGGTTGTGTATTTGTTTAGGCAGATGCCAGAAGCGCTTTTCAAGATTCTGTATGCAAATTGTTTGAAAATTAACAAGAGCTTCCTTTCTTAAAAAAAATATTGGACGTCGATGTACATGAGGTGGAGCATATCACGTCTTCAGTCATTGGTAATTAAAACACACTCAAAATAAAGGTGTCGCAGTAATAAGCAATTCAAAAGAATTGACGTAACCACACATTCATGGATCAACATTCTTGGGAGGAGGCTCCTGTACTTGTCCTCCACCCTCTTCTCCAGCAAGTAGGAGATGATTCGCTCCACCTCCGATTTTCATGCGCAACCTGCTTATCAGTCAGGACGTCCTGCCTCGTCGGAATCGGCTTCCCGAATTGGTAGTAAAACCGGCCCGGCATTTTCAGATACAGTCCCGGGAATAACACCTCATGATCAACGTCCCTGCAAAGAGCAGCATTTTCAGAGAAGATTCACGAGTCATCACTCATCAGTGTAAGAAGTTGTCAGATCCTCACAACTCAAGGGAAGGGCAATTCACGGGTGTGTGTACCTTAGCTTCAGATGATTGCTATATGCTTGGATCATTTCCTTGCCAAAGGGTACATTCCTGATATCTTCGAAAGTACAGAGCAGCTGCAGAACATTTTAGTTACAGAATGCAAATGTAGGTCAATCTATTAGCTACGTAACTTATAGTTATTCCTTTTTGTTCCAAACTTCTTCTTCTTCTTTTTTTGTGAAAATTCCCAGTTCTTAGTTCTTACCTCTAGCAGATCATCCTCCCCGACGACTCCAAAAGGCACAATTGTTGCATTAAACTGTGCTGCCAGCCTGAGAAATTCGGTCTGGGTTGGCCAGAACAACCTGTGCTCTTCGCCCTGCAAATCAATCTCATGGGCGTCATATACTCACAAGATTAAGCTTGGATAGTTGCAGTTGCAGACCCAACTGTATATATGAACCTTGCAATGGAGCTCCTCCCTGTGGCCACTGGGGTAGAGGAGCACAAACTCGCTGGCGCCCAGCAGGTCGTAGATGGACTTGTACATCATGGGCACGCCGCCCCACAGGTTGAGGAAGTCGAAGAAGTCACTGTAACACCCTAGTGTTAAGCATGCATTGGGCACTTGCATTTCATGAGCACAAGCATCATCCAAGCATTCATGAGCATGTGCATAAGAAGTTTCATCTCATTCATTTATCTTTATCACATGTGATGTTTATATATATATATATATATATATATATATATATATATATATATATATATATATATATCATGATATGACCAAAGTTGAACTATTGCCAGTGTTTGCATGGCAGTGCACACTTAAGCAAAGTTGTGTGAGTAACAACTTTTAATGCAAGAGCTAATGCCATTGTGTGTGCCTAACATTACCAATGCAAGAATGAAATGCTGTTGTGAGGTTACAAAAACACCTTAGACATGTTTAGGATGGTACATGGAACAAGTTTGGTATTCATGACTTCGACCAAAACAGCCCCCAAGTCATAGTTATTCTAGAAACTTCAATTTTCATGATCCTACTTTGACCAAAGTTGAACTATAGCATAGAGTGTTTGCATGGCAATGCACACTTAAGCAAAGTTGTAATACTTGACTAGGTAACAACTTTTATTTTTGGGCCAAGAGCTAATTTAGTGCCTAACATTGTCAAATAGGGCTCACAAGAATCAACAAAATGTTGTTTTTACCTTAGAAAAATTCAATAAGTTATGAACTGATTTCCAGTTTCGATGTACCATACTTTGAAGCTTTGCATTTTAAAAACCATGACGAATTAGAGGAAACTTTCTAAATCAAAGTTGTAGACCTCGTGTAGCTCTACAATTGTTGCACTATAACATATCTAAAATGTCTAGACTCACAGTGATTGTAACATAAAGAGTATAAACAAACATTAAGCTTTTACAAAAGTTAAATGATACACAAACAGCCGCATGAAGGCTTTTTATAGTGGACATTTGAATGGGTACCTTTCCCGATAGATAATCTCTCGTGAACTTCATCAGTTCGGAATCTTTTGTCGACTCCACCAGGGGAGTGGTCACACCATGTGCATGCATCTTTTAAAATGCAATCGCATTGCTATACAAGTCATCAGTTGCAAACAGCCTACCCCCTCTTTCTGAGCACAAACTTTCGCGCCACCAACAATAAGAACGTCCTTTTAAAGGAATCGAAGCCATAAATTACACTTTCATCAGTGTGTTGCCAAATGGTGGACCAATTATTATCCATAAGGGGAGAAAGTCAAGAGCATGCGAGTAGTTGAAACAGCATAGGTCTGCAGGTGTGCACTCATTATTTTTAAGCTTTTAACCTCATAGCTTCAATAAAACTCAATATGCCATAAATGCCATCCTTAAGATCCATACCTTCTTTTGCAAGCTGGACAAGGAAAACATACGGGGAGATTTGAACCTTTCCGACAAGGAAAACAAATACGGTACATTAAGAAACCAAACTCAAGGATGAGAAAAGAATGTGCCATGTTGTACAAAGACATAAATCTGTTTTATGTGAAAGATTCACACAGACAGCATATTGTTGCCAATGTTAATAATAAACCATTTCTGTTTGCTAAACAAGTTAAATTGCTAATCAAGGTATTTTGTGAATCAAATATTTGTGAATAGGCAACAACAGAAAAACAGCCAACTGATGGCAGGAATCCCCAAACTATCGGCAAAACCCTTGAAGCGGCGTCTGTACTGCCTTGCCACCAAGCGTGGCTAGGAGAAAATTAGCGAGTTTATACCTTGATGCCAAAGTTAGTTGAACCAAATACAATTTGAATAATTTGACAAATACCCCAAACTCTATCTCTTTTTTATTCATATAGAAGGAAAATCTCAATTCTTAGGGGAGCTAGATAGAGTTGATTCATTTTACGGGAACCACCAGCCATTCTCATCACGGTGTCAGAGGCCATCGCCAAACATGACATAGATGTTCGAACTTGAGGACGACAGGGAACACACAAAAAAAGCCAAGAGTAATATTTAATAGGCCACACATCTTCATTTTCGCGGAGGACCATCCATGAGAATGCTCGGAAAGCTGGGAGGCGTTTCAAGGAGCTCCTCAAGCGCCCTTGCCCTTCTTGTGCTGAAGCTTCTTCATGTAGAACTCAAGCTCTTTACCCTCAAGGATGTACCTGTTATACAAAAAAGAAAAGTGTATTGTAAGGAGCTGTCTGCAATATAAGATATAAGTGAAAGGATAAATTTGTGACAGCTGCCAACATATCTAAAATGTCTAGACTCACAGTGATTGTAACATAAAGAGTATAAACAAACATTAAACTTTAAGCTACAAAAGTTAAATGGTACACAAACAGATAAGCTGCTCTAACAAAAACAAAGAAAGTCTGATGGAAGTCCATTATTTCTTACCCATCAATAAGTGTCGGCATGGAGGCTTCATCTTTAGATACTTCAGCCATTGCATTTGAATGGATGTTATTTAGCACCGACATCTCCTTCTCTCTCCAAATCGCATGAACTTCATCAGTTCGGAATCTTTGCGTAAATGTCGACTCCACCAGGGGAGTGGTCACACCATGTGCATACGCCGGTAAACCAGTGTCTGCAATCATTGCCCCATTGTCTATACAATAGCGGTCATCAGTTGCAAACAGCCTACCCCCTCTTTCTGAGCACATAATCCTCATCATCTCCTGTAAACGTTCGTTGCAATTGACGCCACCAACAATAAGAACGTCCTTTGAATCACAGTGCGCCATTGCACATTCAGTAATTTCAACAAGCATGGCGAAGACAGTTTCCTGCGCAAATTATGACTTTCATCAGTGTCGCTGTCAACAAAGCATAACCAATTATTATCCATAAGGGGGAGAAAGTCAAGAGTATGCGAGTACCTGCAATGAGTAGCATAGGTCTGCAGGTGTGCACTCATTATTTTTAAGCTTTTCAATCGTCATAGCTTCAATAAAACTCAATATGCCACTAAATGACACATCCATACCCTTCACAACATAAGGGAGATCAATGAATTTTTCTCCCTTCTTTGCAAGTTGGACAAGGAAAATAAATACGGTACATTAAGAAACCAAACTCAAGGATGAGAAAAGAATGTGCCATGTTGTACAAAGACATAAATCTGTTCAAAGAGAAAATGTCTTCAAAACAAAACAAAAAAAAGAAGAAAAATGCTAATGGTGACAGCCTGACAGGTAGTACAATAATAAAGGTAGGATGGTAGATAACAATATCATGTGGAACTACCTCAGAAGTACTCTCTTGAAAGATTCACACAGACAGAATCCATATTGTTGCCAATGTTAATAATAAAGCATTAAGAATTATACCATGATTTACCACTCCTGAAATAAATCCTGTTTGCTAAACAAGTTAAATTGCTAATCAAGGTGAGAGGTTTCCCGTTTCCACAACTTAAAGCTAACATAACTGAAATATTTGTGAATAGGCAACAACAGAAAAACAGCAGAAGAGGCAAAAAAAAAAAAAACAGTAAGATATGTAACATTGTAACTTGACCAAGATTCTCTTTGACGTGATGGCAGGAATCCCCAATATTGTCTATGATACGAACATGGAGTAAAATAAGATAGCACTGAAGAACTTCAAAGCTATGTGGAATGGGCCTCTAATGATTATGATTTCAGCATAGCTAAAAGTTAAAGATAATCAGTTTTCTAAAAGGAAGCCATCTGGGTCGCCAAGGCGCTAGGCACTACTTAGCCACCACAATTTAGCCATAAGTGGTGATCCTAATAGGATGGTGACCAAAAAAACTCCTAGCTCGGGAACTAGTCCAGCAAGGCAGCAGCCCAAGTAAGGTGGGTAGGCAGACAATGCAGTTCTATACTTCTAGTTAGAGCAAGCAGGTACCAGTAGTAGTCAAAATGAATTTTTTTATGACAAAAAGGAAAATGCTTAAACCTTGAGTAAGATGAATCCTTAATGTTATGAATAATAAAACCATAGGAACCACAATTTTGATTTTAGTTGCGATATGAAGGGAAGTAATAAGTATACAGTAACAGTAACTATCCTCTAGGATCAAGTAAGAAGTGAACTGTCTTGGAAGAGAACTGAATTAGCAGCATTTCAGGCTTTCATGAAGGAGACTCTATAGTTTGGCCCAACTTTGATCAGCACAAATAGCAAAATGCTTTTATGAGCTTATTTAAAAAAACATCCGGTCAAAACTAAGTGTTGTTCAAAACAGATGCAATGCTGCATGGTCACAAAGACACTATCTTGACCATTAATTACTAATATAAAGCCTGCTAATTACCAGTGCTATGAAATGAACTCACAAGAACCATCAAAACGTAGCAATAGTCATGCAGACATATGCTCTGTTTCATTATGGAAAGTACTGCAAAAGTGCTACCATGGGAGAAGTTGTGATTATGAAATGGCAACTCCATTTCATTTAATTGATATGACATCTCGACATTTTATAAAATGAAAACTAGGAAAGTTCCTTTGAACTCAATATTGCTTGCAGTGACCAAAATATTATGATCATTGGCATAGGTAAGCTACAACAAGTTTGTCGTACATGTTTTGGTTAAATTTGATGCTTCACTACAATTATGTGTTTGCAATGGATAGACATGGATAAACCTAGGCGCATATATTAGGCCTTAACATGTTATTACACAAAGTTTATCTACTCCACATATGGCTGAAATTATTTGAGATCAGCATCTATAAAAATAAATAAATAGACATGGATAAACATTATTTTTTGCTGCGGACATGACTATGGCCATTACCTGTTCTGTTGCAGACATGAAGACTATAGCTGTAATTTCTTAGTGGACTTAGACATTCCACTTGAACTGAAAGCTGAGATGAAAGCTAATACGAGATGGAGACCTAGTCCTAAGAATAAAACCCAGTGCTCCTTCTGTTGTTCCTAAAATAAAAAATTCCAAACCCATGAGAATCTAGTCTAAGTATTCCAGAAAAAAGGGCTAATATGAGCCAACAAAGTCTAACAACTCCAAAATGAATCAGTTTGCACATCTCC